CCACGACTACCACCACTACTACTTCTTCTACTACTACTACTACTACTACCACTACCACTACCACTACCACTACCACTACGACTACCACTACCACTACGACTACCACTACTGCTACTACTACTACTACTACTACTACTACTAGTACTACTACTACTACTACTACTACTACTACCACTACTACTACTACTACTACCACTACCACTCCTACCACTACTGCTACTGCTACTGCTACTACTACTACTACTACTACTACTACTACTACTACCACTACGACTACCACTACGACTACCACCACGACTACCACCACTACTACTTCTACTACTACTACTACTACTACTACCACTACGACTACCACCACGACTAGCACCACTACTACTTCTACTACTACTACTACTACTACTACTATTACTACCACTCCGACTACCACTACGACTACCACCACGACTACAACCACTACTACTTCTACTACTACTACTACTACTACTACTACTACTACTAGTACTACTACTACTACGTGTAATATTGCCATTATTGTTATTACTACTATTATTACTGTTATTGTGATTATTGCTGGCGTTGCTCTTATTGTTCTTGTGTTGTTATATGCTTTTTATCATTATTATTATTATTTTATTATTATTTTATTATTATTTATTGTTATTATTATTGTTATTATTATTACTATTATTATTATTACCATGACTATTCTTTATATCATAACTTGACATGCGGGCCTGGAGCCCTCCCAGAGTGTCGCCGTCCCGGAACTCCGTCAAAGCCTCACCTACCGCTGCGAAGGCCTCCACGGCGGATAGGGTGTAGGGCTTAGGCTTGAGACTCTGGCGTTGAGGGCTTCGGGTTGAAGGCTCAGGCTTTGTGGGCTCATCGTTCTGCACCTTTTGGCTTCTTTCACACGCAAACAAACACTATTCAAGCATATCTGGGTGGTAGTTTGGGGGCCCTGAAAAGTATTTATGAATAGGTACCTCTTTAGAAACCATAAGGGAAATTTTAAAGTTTCCCAAGTTGCCACCTAGATATGGTTTTACGCAACGTATCATCTTGCCATCTACTACTACGATCCCAGTGCCGTTTACAGCTGCTGTACTCCGGCACCAGGTTCCCGATCTAGCTGGCAGATATCATCAGAATCCCTCTAGCGCCTTCGCACGCACAAGGTACATTCTGAAGGAAAACGTGCCTTTATCATTAGACTAGGGTTTTTGGGCTATAGAATTATAAGAAGGAGCCCCCAAAATAGTATAGGTAGCTATTAAGGCCCCTATATTACATACCAAAGAGCCCCTTGTGCCCTGAAGTCTCGCCCGATAAGAGGCCCAAACCCTAAACCCTAAACCCTAAACCCTAAAACCCTAAACCCCTGAACCCTAAACCCTAAACCCTAAACCCTAAACACTAAACACTAAAACCCTGAACCCCTGAACACTGCCATCTACGAACCCCAAGCCCTTCCGAGGGTTTCGGGTTTAGGGCTTGGGGTTTAGGCTTTAGGGTTTAGGGCTGAAGGGTTAAGGGTAGGGTTAAGGGTTTTGGGTTTTGGGTTGAGGGTTTAGGGATAAGTGTTTAGGGTTAAGGGTTTAAGGATAACGGTTTAGGGTTGAGGGGCAGTGATCATAGGGTTGTGGGGTACGTTACACTTCCTGTACTCCGCGACCTTGTTCACGGCGTCCAGAGCTCGAGAGATTGTGCTTGCGAGAGGCCCAGGCACCTGACTTTTTGTGTTGAGGGCTTTAGGGTTTAGGGTTTCGGATAGTAGGGTTTTGGGCCTTAGGGTTTAGGGTTTCCGAGAGGGTTCCCGTGGTAGGGCTTTAGGGTTTAGGGTTTAGGGTTTGAGGGGTTTAAGGTTTTCAGGGTGTAAGGGTTTAAGGGTTTAGGGTTTAGGGGTTTGAGGGGTTTAAGGGTTTCAGGGTGTAAGGGTTTAAGGGTTTAGGGCTTGAGGGGTTGAAGGGTTGAGGGCTTAGGGTTTAGGGCTTGCCTTTTGGGGTTCGGTGTTTAGGCTGTTGGGTTTAAAGTGTAGAACTTTGGGTTGAGATCTTAGGCTTTGGGAGAAAGCAGTTTTTAAAACCTTCGACCACCACCAGGGTAGTTCTCTAAACTCGTGCCCCTAGGGTTTTTTTGTAAAAATGGTGGCGTACTATGGGAAAGGGGCCCTACTTTAGAGAGCTATCCTAATTGAACCCGTATAGAGACCCTGTAGAAACCCTCTCGATCCCTCTCAGGGAACCCCCAAACGGGACCCTAAACCCTAGACCCGAAACCCTGAACCCTAAGCCCT